TTTTTTTTTTTTTTGTTGTTTTCTCAAGTAAGAAGTTATTCGATTCTTATAATCATCAGAAATACTTGATCAAGATCATATTACGACATGAAAATTTTTGTTTTTGACAGAGATTCTTCGTCGTATCTTTTATGTTATGATGAATGTTAATAATATCCATTTATATTCTCTTAATTTTTAGTAAGTAAAAGCGAGATACGATAATCTATTTCTAGATATTCTTATCTTACGTCCTTCTGTGACAAGTCGATTACATAAATATTTATTTGTTTTTTTCTCTTTTGTTACTTCATAAACAAATATTAAATACGATTAAAAAATGAAAATAGAAAAAGAACAAGAAAAACCCGGTAAATCTTTTGTTCTTGAGTTTTGTTGACTATCATAAATTGATTTCTCAATGATGTTGTTGTCTATGTTAAAAAAAAAAAAGAAACAGAGAGAATGAGAGAAGAGAGAAAAAAATTGCGAACAAGAATAAGATGTCATTTACAACGGAGCGTTATTTGCCCTTTCCACCACCTTCATTATCAAAACATAAGTGACAAGCACTACCCGTTGGTTTTTTTTTTATTGTTAATCAAGTGTAGAGAACTAGATATATTGATATTCTGCTAACTCTTTTCCATCGATATACATGTATATATTCAGATAGCAAAAAGAAAAGAAAGAAATGATTGAGTCTTATTATAATTAAACATGTCGGTACTTTTTTTTCTCTTATCGGTTATTGACAAACTTTTTTTTTCTTTTTTCTTTTTTTTGTTAAAATCCTATTTATATAATGAAGAAACAATCGGTATAGACTAAGTTCTTTTCTTTCTGATCATTCTTCGGCTGTCAGTTAGAATTTCCTTGTAATAATTAATGAAGCGAATGCAAGCAAGCAAACAAACAAATGAAATTGTTCGAGCAAATGGGTTAAAACAATATTTTGGTTTATAATATGACAAAGTGTTAAATGTTTGACAAAGTTTTGATAAACAACGAAAATTTGGTTCGTTGTCATAGTAATTATCTTTCAATTTTGATTATCTAGATTATCTCTTATTGTCAATATTAATGAATAACTTTTATGTTAAGTATTCAGTTTTATATATATATAGATGAGAAAAGTCAAGATAGAGAAAAACAGCTGATAGAAATGTGAAGAAAATATTGTCAAGGTTCATCATGACGTCGATAGCTTACATGATCAACAAACGGAAGAAAGAGGAATTATGTATGACGTCAATATGTGTCGACTTTACTGTTAGTCAATGTCAACAATCATTTCACTACTATTACGTAAGTTATCTATTGATAAAAAAAAATTTTTTTTTTCTCCATGTTTCTACAACTTCTCATCCATCTATCTTAGCCAAGGAAAAATTCTTATACTGATATATCTATTTATATATGTGAGACTATTATCTTTCAGAAAAAGATAAAGGAATTTAGTATGGCCGAATTAGCGAAGATATTGAGTATACATAAAACAGATCATCATTATTTCCGTTTTAAGCTTTTCTATAGATATTTCTCTAATGATGTCAGACGATTTATTCAATCTTAGTATTTCCTCTTGGTATGATCAGATTGCATTTAGCTTTTGTGTATATGCGCATTTTTTTTTTTCAATCATATTTTTGCTATCCTATAGTCTTGATTAGTAAGGAGAGATTTATCATGCAAACGATGAATACTTGAGTAGTAGAAAATTGTTTTCTTATTTTCTATTTCCGTCCTTAACTACACCAACTCATCATCAGTATGCTTCTATTTGACATTGTGGTCGAGCTAAAGAAAAATTCTCAAAAGCAATCATCAATTTGAAGTGAAAAAAAGTTTTCCTCTCATGTATACATGTATAATGGAACTGATTCTTGAGCTACTTGCCGACGGGCAATTGAACGATCGGCAAAGTATATAGTTAAGAGTGAAAATTGAACGAGAGTAATCAATCGATCGATAGTGCCGCTTATATTCTACTTACTGTTGTTACTCTTTTTATTTCCGGTAACGTGTCCGAGAAGATAGTTATCTAGGCCTCGAAAATGCCAAGTGCTCTTTAGGATTCTATTACAAGAAATATAAGTAAGAAAAAAACAGAATTTATTCGAGAGGTTTAATTTTTTTCTGTTATGTCGAAAATATGGAAGATAAAAAAAAAAAATAATTCCAACCATTTCATATTTAGTCGTTATAGGTCAATGTCAAGAGATTGAATTATCTTTCACTGTTGACGTTCTTCAATCCTATCACGTTTTTTTTCTTCTCATTATTCTTTGCCTTGTTCGCGTGTCATCCGCTCTGAGGACGCTTTTGAAATGCACAAAAAAAGACGCGATAGTAAAGAATCATTGTTGTTTCTCTTTTTTTTTTGTGTGTATGCGTGTATGTGAAACCCGTGCATGCTATTGTTGTCCTCGGACTTTTTTTTTCTTCATCGTTTAATTGCTCTGCTTTCTCCTCTTCATATACCGCAATAAGAACAGCTGTAGACATACAACCACATATGAAGTAAACGGATGATTAGAGTTCGAACTATATATTAACAAGGTAGGAGAGAGCAAAGACACAAATTGTACTTGGAAAGAAGGTAAGCATCAGAAACAAATGCATTTCATTTTATCTCAAAATATCTGAAATCTTTTATAAACGTGATACATTTCAACAAGAAAGTTTATATTAGAAAAAAACAATTAAATTATACAATAGAAAAACAAGAAGAGTAAACGTTACGTTCGTAAAGAAAATCTTTAAAAATACTCCTTCACTATTTGTCAAAATCAACGAAGAGAAAATAAAAGCAGAAGGAAGAAGAAAAAAAATGATTCCGCAGTTAATGGTAAGTATGTGTATACATGACGGAAGAAATTTCATTTCATTTC